TTTCGTAAATATTTCGTAAACCCGAAACGGCAAGCGTAGCAAACCATAAATGCAGAACGTAAGACAAACAAAAAATAATCATAAAAGAAATTCCCAGGACGTCCATGATCTTTTGCACATTAGATCGTCTCAAGTCTACAACCGGTACGTGCAGGCTTGCGAGCAAAACCGAGGGTTGCAACCCCTGCCACCGAGATTGCGAGAGGTGCATCTCACTGTTCGCATAGCCTCTCAGCTTCAACACCGAAGCCAGGTGGCTTCCCAATCACGACTCGTCAGCCTCTCAATGTGCAAAACTCGCGCAGCGCCAAACGTGCGTTTCAGAGCGCATGTGATCGAGCTATACCGGTTTGGACACACCAGATGTCGAGGTCGAACTCTCACTGTGTCCCAAGTTCCGGCGCCACAAGACGAAAGGTGGGGCCAATGCTATCACAGCCACCTAGAGCTCGCCAACATTTGCATAACCAGGCACGAGGCGGCCTCTACGATGAACTCATGACTCACCTTTCCGGCTCCACCGTGGATATAGCAATCACACAAGAAAGCAAATGGTCTGAATGCATGGAGTACACTGGTGGCTCTTGGACCTGCATACACAGTGACTGTAAGACTAGGAAGCAGGCCGGTGTCTTGGTTCTGCTGCATCACTCTGCCCTCGCAAATTGGCTTTGAACACCTGATCAAAGGTCGCCAGTTTCATGTTCACATTCCTATGAACACTGCAGACGGCAGGCACATGCATATCATCAGAAGATGCATGACGCAGGCGATAGGCAGGCCCCACAACATCGTCTGCAGGTTTGGCAGGCTCTCCATACGTGCCTCGGTCGGCTTCCGGCCAGGGACTTCAATACCCCTCTTCAGCCTCTTCGTGGGAGCACCGCTGAGTCACCCTCCGGATGACATCCCGGAACTGGAAGTCACACTGCAGACTTTTCGGTTAGTTGCTCTCAATACTTGGTACCCGTCCTGAAGAGGAACACACACGTTCAACGTTGGGAAGGCCAAGACTCAGATAGACTATGTTATGGTCAGACAAGGAGATGCCAGCACTGCTCCTCGTCAGGTCCGCCTCCTGCATCAATTTCGTGTTGGGACTTCCAGGAAAGGTGGTGTCCACATACCGCTGCAAACCACACTTTCGATCTCGAGACCACATTGGATCCATTCAGGCACCTGCCGGCCCTCGCAGGTGGATCAAGATGCATGCCATGATCACCCCACCAAAGCCGACAATATCGCTAAGATACTAAGATGCAGTGATCAGGAATGCGGTGGCCAAGCACCTCATCGCCCACCGTGACCTGGCCGGTGTACAGGCCCTCCATACAATCATGCATCACCCCTGCTTGCTGCCGTGCGTTCCCATCGCACTCAACCCAGTGTCGAGTCTGCACAGGTACAATTGAGCATCACAGAAATGCGGCGAAAATGGCGAGCCTTCAAACAGGTCAGAAAGCAAGGCCTCCGCGGATGGTTCATGGCCTGGAAGGCCTGGAAAGCATTTGATGCGCAGTGCCGAGAGCACCACAAACGCTGCAAGGAAGTCCGGCAGAGTGTTCTGCTCACTGCTACGCGGAAGGCGGGACCCCAGCAAAATAATGCGCGTGGCATACACCAAGTTATTGTGAAGTGACTGGCACTCAAGCAGGCCTGACTTCGCACGCGCTGCATGGGCAGATGGCCGAATGCTGGGGGCGCTTCGGAGCACCGTTACATTAACTCCTTTATCCTATCGTGGCTGTGGGCCCACTGCATTCTTGGGGCACCTGATGCCCAGCTGATTTTTCTCAGGATTGGCGCGACATACTGTATGGGCCTCATTGCGTCACAATCTGTCGCACTCTATCTTGGCGCAGGTTGTTTCGGGGATGGTCTCGGCCCACGGCACAGCATGATGTGGCCACCTTCATTGAGCACATTCTGGCAAAGCAGAAGCCACTGGCGATTCAAGGCCGCCAGCAGTCTCGCCTGGGGATAAGTGCGGGTCAAGCTGTGGTCTATGATGCAGGCAGCATTGCAACACCAATCATTCTTCACGAAAAGGGCGATGGTACCTTGGACTCCTTGCAAGGATGCATCGACAGGTGGCACATGCAGGCCAGACCTCATGGGCTTGCAGAGGCCTACTTTGTAATCATGCTGCAACTGGTCGGATACAAGCACGGGGCTATGGCGACGAAGGATCGGTCTGGGGTACAGATCCTTCAAAAGCTCCAAATACGGGTCTTTGGCCGAGGACTCAGAGTTTTTCGTACGACATACACGGTGTGCTCCGTCATGCTTCATCATGGTGGCACCACTGACTCGGGACATTACACCTCATTGCTCTTGGAGCCGAGCGCTCTGCGCAGGGGCTCATGTTGGGGAACCGATGATGGAATGCCAGCCAAGGCGCTATGACGGCATTCCTGAAATGCTGAGCGGGATGATCGGGATGCATATGTCCTTGTTCTGGCTCGCTGCAGGTTCTGCTGACATCGGGGTTTGTTCCGTTCATGGACTGTACAGTCCAGCTCAGCTTCCGTCCCATTCCAGCCTTGTATTCTATAAGTCGTTCTCTCTTTTCGGAGAACAAAGCTCTCAGGACAACGATCACAATGATTCGAGGTGCCTGTTGACATTTGTGTCGGGGCAATAAATTACCGGGCTCTGTGAAACAGAGTGCGACTTCTGGCGCCGGCACGCCACCGAAGTTGGGACGCTTGGCGGATTTTTCGCTGCGATGGAAGAAGAAGTGGTAATTGTGTAGTGGCAGTCGCAGTAGTCGCTAGTAGTAGTACTGGTAGTAGTGGTCGTCGTCGTCGTCGTCGTGGTGGTGGTGGTGGTGGTAGCAGCGGTAGTAGCAGCAGCAGTCATAGCAGCAGCAGCAGCAGCAGCAGCAGCAGCAGCAGGAGCAGCAGCAGGAGCAGCAGCAGGAGCAGGAGTAGGACTAGCAGGAGTAGCAGTAGAAGAAGTAGCAGTAGCAGTAGCAGTGGTGGTGGTGGTGGTGGTGGTCGTGGTGGTGGTCGTGGTCGTGGTCGTGGTCGTGGTGGTGGTGGTGGTGGTGGTGGTGGTGGTGGTGGTGGTCGAGTCGTTGCGCAGCCTGCTTGAGTCAAGTCTTGGCAGCTCAGCCCTTT